GTGGGGGGTGTGCGTGTGTGGGGTGTGTGTGTGTGTGTGTGTGTGTGTGTGTGTGTGTGTGTGTGTGTATTCCAGATTCAAGAACCGGGGTAAGGGCTGGACCAAGCAGGGACTGAGGAGGGGACAGGAAGCTGGTTCTGGCACTGTCAGGGATAAAGGAGTGGTCCAGGCACTAGGGAGATTGATCCACGCATTGGGGAGAGCTGGTCCAGGTACTAGGTGGCTGCTCTGGGCACTGAAGATGGTTGGTCTAGGTATTCTGGAGGGAGCTGGTGCAGGGACTAGGTGGGGGAGCTGGTGTAGGAACTTGCAGCAGTGGGGAGGCAGGCTCTACTCAGAACAGCAGCAGGGAGGTGCACAGACCATCTTTCCTCCCTCCCTCCCCCAGAGACCCCCAGGTCCTATCCTGGCAGCCTGTGGAAGGCCAGAAGCCCCACCCCCACCTTCACTCACCCCGAGACCAGGAGCTGAGCATGCAGACCTGTGCAAGGAGCCCCTTCTCCCTGTCTCTATTGGCTCTGCTTTGAAGTGGCAGCATGGGGCACCTCTTTGAGGCCACGGGGGAGGGGGGGAGGGAGTTAACCAGGTTACCAGCTTAGGGCGCCCGAGGTCACACCAACACTTTCCCTGGGTGGCAGGGCCTGCGACAGCAGGGACCAGGCTGACATTCCAAGACCAAGGCAATGGTGCCCCACACTGGCATCCCGTCCCAAACTGTCCCCCGCCGAGATGTGTTCCAGCCCAGGCAGCAGGAGACTCAGCTAACGCTCGCCAGACCCAGGGCACCAGGCTGTCACAGGAGATGGTCCCTGAGGCAGCCTTTCAATTTCTCAAGAGCAGCCGCAGGAATGGGCCAGACACCCTGCCAAGGGGCCCCGACGCCCCGGCAAGCACAGCTCCAACCCAGTGCCTCAGGAGTGGCCAGGTCAAAGGGGACCCCTGCAGGAACCAGAGTGACCCTCCTTCCCCCTGGGGAGGTGTGCACCCAAGCCCTGGGCGGCTGGAGCCCCAAAGGGTAAGGCCAGAGGAGCAGACTTGGGGCAACAGGCACCAGGTGACCGGTCCTGGCAGCCTGCCCTCTCCTCTGGCCTCCCAGGTACCTCAGGTCACCACCTTCCCCACTTTAAAGGGGCCTCCTGTCCCCCAGTGGCCACTGTTGCACTTGTCGCTAGAGTCTGAAGGGGTCTCGGCGAGGGCATCCCGGAGCCGCCTTTGTCCAGTCACAAGAGAGGGAAGCCATTCTTGGCTATAGTCTGAGCTTGCAGCGGGACACCAGCAGATGGGGGTCCTAGGGGTCGAGCGACAGCTTCCTTGTGCTGTCTACAGAGCCTCTGCTTCCCAGTGTCCAGGGGACACTAGCCGACGCCCCCTGACAACTTTTCCCTCCCCGGAAAAGTCAGGAACAAATCGGGGGGTCTAGGGGACAGCTGTCGGGAGACCCCGTCAGCGGGCGCTGTACGCGTGGCACTGTTTACGCGAAAGGCCAGGAGGCGCGGCCGGCAGGAAGATGGCGACGGCGCGGGCGGGGCACGCCGTGGCCGCGCG